TTGTGATGGTCCCCTGCGAGTACTCTGAGAAGTTCTATTAGGTGTCTAAGATATTTGGAAGGTCTCTAGGGGATCTTTAAAGTCTTCGACAAGTCCTTTACAGTTCCTAACAGATCCTTGAGAGCTTCTGAAGATCATCAGAATACTGTAGAAATTTTCAATGGCTTCCTACAAATTTGCAAGGTTCCTAAGAAATTTCTGGATTTATTTAGAGGATCGATGAGGTTTTTAAGGGGTCCCCAAAGGCTTTAAGATCTTTAAAGTCCATACGATAAGTCTTTACTACGAAATTATTAATATTCTCATTAAATTAAAGAAAAATGTCCAGTTGATCCTCGGATCGAGAGTCCCGAAGGTCGTTCAAGAGATTCATCAATTTTTCAAGGAGTCCCTGAAGTTTCTCGGAGAAGTATCAAGATCTCCAAATGTTGCTAAAATTCTTTAGGGGTCCCTAGCAACCCGCAAAAAACGTCAAAGTCCCTGAAAGGACTAAAACGCTTCGGCGAAGATCAAAGTTGACCAGTGATAGCAGAGAAACTAAAGCGACCAATAGGGGTAGCCAAAGATGGCCTAATATGTCCCTTTCGAGCTCCCTAGCCCTAAATCACCAGGGAACTACGATAAACCCCTGTGAGCTGTTCGAAGCCTAAAAGCTCGAAGGAGACTACTAATTTTTGGCTCCACGTTTCTATTAATAACTTTCTGGGCTACCATTCCCTTCGATCTTGCGCATGATCGAAGTATTGATAAGATTGTGCTCTCATTCTGCGGAGTAACTCGTCGTGTAATTCGATATTTTTAAAATTGAATCGTTATTAAGATACTTCTTGCGGACTGAAATAATTCTCTTAGTCTTTCCTCTTTATTTATTATCATCGTCGTCATTATGCGCCGCCTTCCTTCCCTGCGAAACACTTTAAACAATCTCCACTCTAAGCTTCCTTGTAACTGGAGCACTCCGCCATTCCATGAAACTTGAATATTATAAATCTGTCTATAGAAACTGCTACACGCTCTTAGGTCCAACGGGTCCTCGAGAAGTAACCACGTTCCTTCCCTCTAAGACACTCGTTCCGAAGCGTGAAACGTCCTCGTTTGTATCGTTTCGTTATCTCTGTTATCACCTATTCTTTTTTATCTCTACCCGACGTTGCCTCTATCTTTTGTTATTTTTATGTTCTGTTATCTCTATATTCCGTCGTCTTTATCTCTTATTGTCTCTAAACCTCGTACGGTTTGATATTTGGAATATTCACGCTTCGAACGTTAAATATTCCAATTTCTAACTCTTGTTATTTCCAAGCTTCAAATAATTTGAAACTTTAAACTTTAATGCTTCCAACATAAAATTTTATTGTTTCCAATCCTTTGTTATCTCTAAGCTTCGAACGATTCGAAAGTTGAAATCTCAACTGTTCCCATGTTAAAATACTATTATTTCTAATCTTCTGTTATTCCTATCTCTTATTATTTCTAAACTCCAAATGTTTTCAAAGATGAAACTTCAACGCTTCCAACATAAAATTTTATTCTTCCCATTCCTTTGTCATCACAAAGCTTCGAACGATTTGAAAATTGAAATCTCAACTGTTCCAATGTTAAAATACTATTGTTTATAATCCACTGTTATTCCTATCTCTTATTATTTCTAAACTCTAAATGTTTTCAAAGATGAAACTTTAACGCTTCCAACATAAAATTTTATTATTCCCATTCCTTTGTCATCCCAAAGCTTCGAACGATTTGAAAATTGAAACCTTAACGGTACCACTGGTGCGTGGGGTGCAAATAACCCTTAGCAATGAATCCTCCGGTTAGATTACGATCCTGCCGATTATGCGGAACCAGGGGAAGAATTTTTTCGGCAGGGCTGATCGATCGGTCGCCACTTAAGACACTCTTAACCCGATTGCCCCTTCTCTCGTACGATATTAGCCTGATCCTCTCGAACGGAACGACGAAAACGTTTCTCCCCGATGCGATGCTTCGTTATCAACGCTATCACCGCGAGAAATCCGCCACTCCCATCTCCCCGGGGAGCACTCCGCGGTATGAAGCGTAAAAAGCAGTCCCTCTTTTTCACCACCGACAACCTCTTTCCCAGCACTCGTGTTTTACGTTCTTTTGGCTTTCCTTTTCGACGGTCGGCTATCTTTGAGAACTACAAACAACAATTTCCGCGCGATGTAGCATGAGACATTTGATTTAACTGATACCTTCTATTATTGAATTATTTTCTTCCACAGAAGATCGTTCGCTATTTCATGATTCGCGTGTAAACACCGTAACAATTTTGTTTAGTCGCTTTCTTATATTATTCTATTCCCATTCATGTCGTAATAAGACTTACAAAATTCTAAATTTATATATTATTACTAAACAACAGAAAATTTAAAGCATTGACATCAACTGTTTACTTTTCTCTCTCAGTAATTTCAAGTTTAAAGCGAAACTTCATCGAGCTAAGTGGTTTAGGTTTAAATATCAAGTATAGTAAACAATTTCAAGTATTAACATTATATTTGCCTAATTGGAGAACTGATAATTGCATACGCGAGCGTACAAGTTAACTTAGAGAAGTAAAATAACTGTAAAGCTTGCGAATATCTGTTTCCACCTTCTACACAACAAAACTTGAAAAATGAACCTTCGCGAACAAAATTCCCAAAACAATAGACCGTGTGTCATCTGTTCCCTTTTCCGCAACGGTGAGTACTGCAAATTGTAAGTGATTAAATATGTTTATCCGTTCGAGGACGTCCCGAGTGGCTGCCGCGAAACGAGCCAGCGTCAGATAAATTCTACCTCCGCGAGAATTTCCTTTTCCTTGGAAACAGGCGAGTATCCGGTGACTCGCGGACTCCGTCACTCTTCCCGGAAGGAATTATCTCCCGTAAACGTTAATTAACGATACGAAGCTCACGCCACGCACACGTCCACCCGCGAAACAGGCAAATCAGACCAAGTACCTGTCGCAATGATAAAACGGAATCTAAGAAAATTAATGAATTCACTTTGCGTCGCAGCCACTCGATTATCCAGTCTAATTGGTAGACAAATGGATTGAACAAATCGCGGCTGAAGAAGATACATTAAAAGCACGTTTACACGAACCGATTTAGAGGAACGATTTGTGCATTCGGATAACCGACTCTCTAACCGATTAATGGCACCACAAAATCATTAACAAAGTAAAACGCGTAGCGTGTAATCCGATACAATGGATCAACACCATTATGATATTACAGTATAATAAAGTAGTCGCAATTGTGACATGAATTTATTCATACCGAAATTAAACGCGAGTTAAATGTAACAGAAATGCACAATGAGCTCGCGGTTTGTTTTACTGGCATGGATTCTAGATAATCGTAGAATTGCATGAATCCAGTAATATTATGAATTTCAGTTCCACCGATACAAGAGGCGTCGCCAGAGGGTAACACGTAGGAATGCGAGCTATCGAAAGAAAGCATCTCCACCCGTGACAGTCGAAGGGGTGAACGACACGCGACCCGCGCGAGAAAGCCACCTCCCCCGACTGTTCACGTGATCCCTTAACCGGTCGTAATCACGCGAGCCAGAACGATCCGCGATCACGAACCCGTACGTGTCGCGAATGTCGAAAATCGCCCGAAAGCGAGGGGCGGCGAGTCTCACGGAAAAAAGGGGCGACGGCGCGAAGGGGGATACAATGAAACTGTTCTGCAGAGATAGTATAAAAGAATTCGGTTTCTTCCCCGCGTTTTCTTGCGCAGCATATCTCGCGATCTTCGTTCGAAAAGGATTCAAATGAATCCCAGAGAATGGCCGGGAAAAGGAGCAGCCCCTTTTAAGCGGAACGGCGCGCGAGCATCAATCGGAGCGCTCGGCGAGCTCGAACGGTGAGAGGGTTCAATTATTCAACTGAGTAAAATTTGCACGGTGCATCAGGGTCTGTTCATAAATTACTCGCCGAGTTCCCTGTAAACCGAGGAGAAGAAAAGAACTCGGGCGAAGGAAGGGGATGAAAAACGAATTTAACTGTGTTCCGGGGGATGAATTCTTGGGATTAAAGGCCTCGTTCCTCGCTTGTTGCTCGCGAGGACGATAATTGGGAATACGAATTGATCGAGTTCACCGTGGAGTCGGACTATTGTAAAAGTTGTGGGGTGTAGAACAAGGAAACAAGGGTTGCAAAAACCTGCCAATGCTGCTACTTGTTTCATTCTCCGCGCTCTCTTCTTCGAACCTGATTCAGGTAGATGTTCTTGTTTTTAGATTAAGGATTCTTCTAGTTATTCGATCTTCTAGTTTTTTAAAAGCTTTTCTAGTTTATTCTAGTTTCTTAGTTAATTAATCGCGACCGCGGCGATTCATATTAACTTTATTGAAGAGAACTCATGGAACTATCACAACTTCCAATTAACCCAATTACATCTTTCACTCGCCAAATATACGATCCACTTCCGAAGTACTCGCTTTGGGAAATTTGGAATCTGTATCGACAGTTTCCTTTAAAAAATTGCGAAGGATGTTTTAATTTGCTCCCTTGTTCGAGGACCAAGTGATGTAGTTTTAGTATTATATTGATAAGAATAATAATCTTAATATTATAATAATTAAAATAATACTCCCAGTATTAGAACATTGCAACTACATCACGTGTTGTCAACAAATGGACCTTATTTAACGAATGAATTATGAAATATATTTCCGTTTCTTCCTTTGATAATCTAATAAACTCTTATCATTACCTTAAATTATTCTCACATAAGTCTTTATCTAAAACCGTAGCGCATAGTTCCCTTCCCAATGTTCATTTACAATCTATCAAAACGATTCCATTCAATAAAATATCTCAACTTCGAAGAGAATACTTCTGAAACAAACGCTAGTCGCGAACGTGTTAACATTTTCACACGAAAGTATCACTTCGCCGAGAAAGGAATTACACGAAGAAGATGTAGGAAATGGGTTAATGTTTCGTTATTAAGGTAGGTAGGACCCTTAAACCTTACCTGAAACGTCCCAGTCCCGCTGCCCAGCCGGCGTTGTCTCTCCGAGGGTGAGGTTGAGGGTCGACAGATTTATCGTTCCGCAGGATTCAATTAAGGACGCACAATTAAACCGGAAAATAATTCAGCGGCGGGCTAATCGCCGCCCGGATCCACCCGGGACGTCCACGTTCCAATTTAGAAACGTATTTACTTAGCACAGAGAGTAGAACTACCGGCGAATACTGGACAGTCACCGGCCGATAGATGATCCCCGATTAACACGCGAGATCCGCCACGAGCATCCCGTACAAGCGTGCCTTTTCCCTGATGGTCGATAATCCAGCCGCGAAACGATGGAATCGACGATCGAAACTCTCTCTCTCTCGCTTTCTCTCTTCCGTGTTACACTGTCCCTCGAGCTTCTTCGAGTCCCGTGGACCCTGAGGAACAATCACTGAACAAGATTCTAACCTCTTAGATTTTCTGGTTCTAGCAACTCTCCCTCGAAACTCTCCAAATTGTTTTCCACCAACTCACGGTTTTCCCTTCTCCATGAAATCCAGAATCTCTATTCTAGATTCGGAATAAATTGTAGTTGAAACGTTCGTTCTTTTTGTAGAAGAATGTTGGGCATTACGATTATTTGGATCCTCCAGCCAGTGGAAACTCTTCTTTGAAAGTTTCTGCAATCCTTTCATCAGATCACAGATCTCCTTTCCTCGTCAGATCTAGAATGTCTAGATAGGGTATTCTGGATAGAGTAAATCGTTTAGAATGTTCATTGTTCTTCTTCGTCTTGAAATTCTCTAGATTCTTTACATCAACTCAGTTTCCATTTCAGCATCGAACGTTTAATATTCTTTCAAGGACCGTCGGTGTAGGTGAATTGTTCGTTCTTTTCTTCAACAACGTCGAACGTTATCGATGTCTCTTTGTATCCTGGTAGTTAAGAACTAAGACAGCAACAATCACTTAACAGGATCACTGTCCTCAAACCTTTATTCCTATAAACTGTGCCTACGGATTCCCTAGATTTCTTTCATCAACTCACAATTTCCGTTTGTACGTCGAATCGTCTTGGTTCGATCACGATCCCTCGATGATTTAACATCCCCTGGAATATCAGTGCTTTCCTTGAACAATGTCGAACGATATGACACGCAGTTTACGTTCTGACGGTTGATGACCGAGACAGGGACGCGGTTTAATATTAAAACGTCGCGGGGGTTCGGCCAGCGGGGAATGATGTACGTGTGGATGGATTATCCGTCGACGAGATTCGGCTGAAAATTAGACACGCTCGTGTTACGGTCCACCGGCGTTTGTCGCGTTATCAAATAGCCAAGAGTAATCGACGCGACGCGTTCATTCACGGGTAATCGGTTTTCTTCGACGATCTTGGGCATGAACGAGCTTCCACGGTGTTAGGCAGGTACAATATGGATACGTCCGCCTTTTCCGCGAAGGGACACTTTCTTTCTCGTAATTTTACTTTCTTAAGATTCTACTCTTACGCAGAGAAATTCAATATTTAGGAGAAATAAAGATAATTGATGACGAAAGATACTTTCTTTTATAAAATTTCGCAAAATAACAACAGCTGTTACCATTGATTTGAAGAATTGGAACTTGATTCGGTTAAAATTTGATATTAAAGGAAGTTAAATAAATCTTTGATGTATTAGGGCGGAGAAAAGAATTTTCGAACAATTTATCACCGGAAGTACGGGGATATTGTAACTAAGTATATCTCTATACACTCAATGAAACATCTCAGCTACGGAGGTTACTATGAAAACAACAGTTCCCGTTAACATCGTTTCATCAGCTCGATGAAAATCCAGAAGCATCTCAGAAAAATCTGCCGAAAGCAGTCGCCGGCGAAAACGCGGAAATATTTCTTGAAAGGAATTCAAAGCGTCCTTTACGTTCAGCGGAACATCTCGACCACGGGAAGATTACTCGAACCAAATAACATCATCAAATACGTTAATTGGATAGTAGCAAAGGAGCCGACACTCGACGAGCGAAGCGTTTACCTTCGGAAAGGAGTTCCGCCGTTCAATCCATTTATCGGTTTCCCCGCGGGAGAAATCCTGGCTGGACAGCCCGGGGCGCGGGGAACCGCCCGCGTAACGAGGAAACGGAATTCCGCGAAAAACTTTTAATTGATCGCGATCCCCTAGACGCCAATCACCGGTTTGCACCCTGAAGAGTCTTCGCGGGGTATCTACGCGGAAGGGTCCCGAATCCTCTAAAACAATCGAAGTCTACGCAGGAAGAAGGCCACGTCTGGCTACCTCAGCTCACCATCGACTAACTCGTTAGCAATTAATCCGTAATGAACAGACGCGCCGCGCCGGGACACAAACTCCGGCCGCGAATTAATCCCAACGCGAGATAGCGGACACGACGCTAGAAGACCGTCCGCGGTATCTCCACATGTTCTAACCAGCTTAATCACTGGCCCTGATTAACACCGGAACACTAACTGCCTTCGTAACACCGGGGATTTCAAGGGCGAACAGTGTGACAGTAGTTTCGTCCTCCAATATCCGATCAAACTGAAGATCCTTTAGATAAGTCAGGCACCTAACCATTCGATTAACACGTTGACTGCCGAATCATCGAAGTTTCATAGGATTAAACCAGTTTCCTTGATAAAGTTAAGGATTTCAGACTTTGCTTATCGCTCTTTTAACCTTCGTATAGTTTACAGATCCAAGAAACCTCGGTTTCTTGTATATATCACTAGGAAAATTGATTCTTAGAGGTATACAAAGAATTGCTACTTCGAGTGACGTGACAGTTAAAGTGTTAACTCCTTCGGCTATCGACGAGAGTAGGTGCTCTAATATGGATCCAGCTTAATCATTCCCGCCAGCTTCCTCCCGGGAGTCCGGCTTTCGTTCGCCGGAAGTCACTCGTTCTCCAGGGTGCTTCAAGATTCACGAGGCCCCCGGCTAAGCGATCGAAACCGTTTCACCGCGGAGAGGTCGTGAAGAGATCCTCTAACCGTCAAACTTATCGGCACTATAAGGGGACACGCGGTGCACGCTGCTTCCGGTCGCAGCACGTTCAAGGTCGGCCACTGTACATCCGGTGGAACATCGCCGGATCTCGTCGTACGGATTATAGTGTCGGGATTACGATCTTAATTAGAATCGATCTTCTTATGGTTTCATTAAGGATTGTCGGTCTTCCCATCGTTTCTCACGTGAACGGTTGGAAGAGAACCTTGGTAGAAAATTTCCTTCGAGGGAAACCTTAGGTCGGGCCTCTTTCGTTTGATCTTTTTGGCTGTCCGGTTTGCACAAACACGCGACGACAACGTTGACTCGCGGTTCCGACGACTCGGAGAAACGACGCGACGCCGGGATCGAAGAGAAAGATGAAGAGCGTGCGAGAGAGGCAAGCGAGGGGGAGGGAGAGAAAAAAGGAGAGAGAGACAGCTGGAGTCTCGCGATTCTGGTCCTCGAGGACGCCGGGACGTGTTTCGCGGTTTGAGAGGAGCGACTGGTGCCGCCGCGTGGCCCCAAACCTCTGTTAACCGTGGCGCGTGCGCTCCGCATTCAACGGCACCCTCGCCGCGACGCCCTTCCGATGCTCACACGCACTACTCTCTCTCTCTCTCTTTCTCACTTTCTGTCTCTCTGTGTTTCTCTCCTTGTACAGGATGCGTCGGAATAATATATACTGCTAGATCATTTGATAACTGAGAAATTTGGCTGATTAGTTCATTTTTTTTTATATGATTTTCTATTTTCTGATATCTTCGATGGCTAAGTTACTGTTCGATAGTGTGTTTATATGTAATCATTCATTCATTATCAGTCATTCATTCAGAATCAATCAGTCATTTACTAAGTATACAGGTGTACTAGAAGTGATTCTTAATGAAGAAAATAGGGAGGACATTGTAGGAGATTGTGGGAAAAATGGTGGTTAATGTAGAGTTCGAAATAGCTTTAACACTTCGACTGTTAAGTGAACAATCATTGCAACTTCTTTGCAACCGAAATAATTTTCTACAGAAAGTTATGAAGTCAAGACTCTCCCTAACGATTGCTCTATTGTCTTTCTTGTATCTCATACATCTGACGAAATTTGTTTCGTTCGATACGTCACTGAGTAAATTAATGATTAAGTTTATGTGAAGAATGCTCTTACTCGAATTCGGGTGACGTGGAAGTCTAAGTGTTACTGATAATTGCAATAACGGATTGAAAGTTGAAAATACATTTTACGTAGAAAATGAAATAATTTATTCTCATACCGAGTATAAAGAGTCAGGTACAATTCTCAGTAAAAATTGTGTAAGGTTTGAGTTAACCAGTTAAGATCCGATTAGTAATGAACTATTTGAGTGTTTGTGTTGGAATCTGAGTAAAGCGTGTATAACACATCAGCGAAGTCTACTACTGAGTTCGTGGAGCAGAAATTTTCACGAGAACTTCGTCGAATGAAGCTCTTCCTGGATGATGAAGTACAATGAAGAGAACTCTCACAGTAGAACCTGGAAGCCTAGAGAAGTCAAATTGCCCTGTGCTCCCTTAACTAATTAGATAAGTAGACGCGACCCGCTTCCAGCGATAAGCACTTGCGCAAATACAGTAAAAACAGAATTAATTACACTTCATAACGCACGGGACCTAGGGTAACCGAGAATTAACTAGAAAATAATCTCTATTCATTTCGCAGAAATGTTAATCCACTGTTCCCAATTCAACTGAACCGAGAATCTAGGTTCAGGCGACCCTGGTTCCGTCAATTTCCTCGCGCAACAGGGATTAACCCTAACTTTTCACATTGTGCTCCGTAACTATTCGCAGCACTCGCTTCTTTTCATTTACACTGAAATTCTATTTCCTTCTTACTAACTCTTTATACTCGCGAGAAAAGTTTCAGTCACTACTCGTTACTTTTTAACATAGTAAAACTATAAACTCTCGTATATAATATTAATCTCCTTACAACGATGTATGAAATATTCAAATAAAATGCCTTTGTCTTAAAAAATCTCATCTACATCTCATCGAAGACTATATAATATTCCTACTAAAACATTCTAGTACGGAACATTAATATTTAATATCCAAAGTAGACGTTGTAGCTCAATTACAAGTACAGACATTTCTCCCCTCCCAGCTAATTATCAAGAACAAAGTGGTTCCTCCATAAAAGAAATCCCGAAGCAAAGCGTTAAACGGAACCGCACAGGGGAGCAACGGCAAAAAACGGTATTCCGGGTAGGTCAGTCGTTCATTCTTCTGTTTAATGTCGTTTTCACCCCATGGGGTCGGACTCGTTGTCCGCCGTTGCCCGGCATTCCTTTCCGATTCATTAAAGGTGAACGCTTCCGCTTTATTGCTGCCCGGCAGCGCCTCTCTAATCGCTGGCTATAAATTCCCGCTTTTATGGTCCAGAGCTGTTCCAACAGTTTCGAATAGATTACACCCGCCACGATTCGGGGCTAACGTTTCGATGTCGTGGGAGGGGATCGGATGATTCGAAGCTGAAAGGGCACGCGACGCTCCCCGCTCCTCGGGGATTTCCGCGAGAGACGCTTCCAATCCTATCGACACGAACGGGAAGAGTTCTGTTTCCCGTCGAATATTGAACCACCCCTCGGATCCTCTCTTTTCCCAGCGAAGCTCGGTTTGAGAAGCAATAAACAGGGATACGCGGCGGGACACCCACGTCCGCGGCGTCAATATCGCTCGAAACGCGAGGCGAGACGCGGCGTTCTTCGGGGGAACGAACGTCTGGCCGACGCTTCGCGTATCAAGCCGAGCAACCAATGCAAATCGGAGTGTATCCTCGGCAAGTATCGTCGCAGCGGTTCGGCCCAGTTTTCGCGCGGGACACCGGCCCAGTGAATGGACCGCGTGAATCGCTCGCGTTAGCTGGCGTCAGCCGGTTCACTGGTCAAACAGCTGCTAAAGGAAAGGTCGGAAAGTTCGATGGAATTATGTACACGCAGACTAGACCAACGGTTTTGATAGTCAAATTTGGTAGCACGCTGGCAGCAGAGATTGTTTAAGTTTTTAAACGAATCCTTTCTGGGGCTTTGCGTGTACAGATTTTCAATATTTGCACTGCGATCGGTGATTTGAGTTTTGGTAGTGAAATTTAGAGACATGGCGGTGGAGATTGTGTTCTTAAACGAATCCTTTTTGGGATTCTGTACGTACAGATTTACGATATTTGCATTGGGGTCGGTGATTTGAATTGTTGATTAATTCGAGCATGTTTCGTGTTAAGGGCTGAAATTTATGGGATCACTGCTTTGGAAGCATTGAGTCGAAAGTAGGGAGAGATCCTGTTGTAGGATATTTTATTGAGGAGATAATCGACTTCGTAGGTTAGTTGAACACATGTGAATTAGTAGTTGCTAGAAGTGGATATGGCGGATCATGATCAGACTGTGGATTGGAGGAAGGCGACGAGGAACTTTTGAAGTCGATTATCTCTGAAATGAAGCGTCACGTGGAAAAAGTTTATTCTGCGTTGTCTACGTCGAAGATGCTTTCGTTAGTTTTATTGTCTATCACGGTACAACTTGTGTAACAACTATTAAGAAGTCTTATCATTGTGTTTAAAGAGATTATAATATTTTCACTTCGCTGAATGAATTTATATTCAAGTGAATATAAAATTAAATATTATTCTCCTGTTAATTATTATACTTTCAAACAAATATAGACAGAATACCTTTCCTCTCTGTTTTCAATAAATTAACCCTTTGCGCTCCAATGGCCAGTCTCAGTGGCCACTTGATTCAGTACATACGAAATTATAAAATTTAATATTTTATGATAAGCTTCGTATAATGCATCATTATTTGATATATTGAATACAAAATCTCCTTAATCTATGTACACTGTCTCATTAAGTTGCTTTGGAAACATGTCGTCTGTGTCTCATCAGAAAATGTTGAGTATTTGTAATGAAATACTTTTGTCGAATGACTCAACAGTAAATTTATTCGAAAGTATCCTTCTCTGTCGAGACACTTTTTAATTGTATTATACTATTTTTAATAGTATTAGTAAAAAGAATTGTTTACGCTATTAATTAATTGTTTTTCGAAATACATTTCAAAAGTAATACAGAATTATGGAAAAGTAAATGTGAAAGGAACTCGGAGTGCAAAGGGTTAATGAGAGTATAGTTGTATCGATCAGAATTGACAAATGAATCATAGGACATTGTCATACAACTCATTCTAATATTCATTCTCCTATCGCAATACAATCCGAAAAAGAAAACGAGAAAACTTCCCGTCGAGCCTCTAGAAGAATTCACAACCATATCGCATCGCGATTATTTTTAACGACCGTCAGACATTGTTTACCCTGCTCGTACCTTCAGTTTTCCGACAATAGGGGAGAAATAAGGGGAAGGAAAACGGCGGAGACGATACGAGAAAGTTCGGCCGTTTCCTCTTGACTCGTCGGCGTTTCTTCGGCGCAATTATCATCCGCCTACTGCTTTACGATACCCGTTACGACAGTTTTACGTCACGGTGATCCCTTACGCGGCTATTTGCCTCGTTAGAAGTTTCCTGACGGCGGAATCTATTACGCGCATTGAATCCGCGGTTTGTCTCCTCGTTACCGCGTTATCGGCACACCCTTTTATGGTTTGTTAACGGAGCCCTTAATCGCACCGGCGACAAGCTACCGCCTTCAGACAGGAAATTAATCTTTAACAACTGAAAATTCTCCTAGTATTATTCACCTATAAAACCACGGAATACCAGCAAAATATAGAGAACGTATTGCTAGGTGGAAAGTACACATCAAATTACAACAAATGTAACAAACAGTAACCAAAATGTGTTACATTCCCATACAATGGAGTTCAATATAATTAATCGATCAAACATAATATAAAACTCGAAACCGTAATTGTTTCTGCGTCGGCGTTTAATTTCTGTCAACGTTGTTGAACTTCCGATTGCAATTTTGCAATTTAAACTTGACCGTTTCATAATTTAACGGTAACGATGCAACTTTTCTGCAACTTTTCAGTATAATTATTTCCCCAACTTCTTTCATTAAAAAGTAACAGGATATCGGTCAACCGATAATTCTACGAAAGTATAATAGAATACCAATGATATCCGAATAATGTCATTAATCATTCATATTCCTGATAAATATCTTACCAACAACGAAGCGAAAGACGCCCAGCGTTTGAGAATTGAAGAATGCCAATTAGCGTCTCCCGTCGGCAACGTGTTAACAGTGGAAAGCCGGCCGCACAATTATTCATCGTTCACCGGTCACAGCGGCACTTTATCTTTCCTCGGCCTCGGCTGTAGCTTTCCCGGGCCCGGCGAACGCTCGAAATTAAACCGCAATCGTTCGTCTTCGTTCCAGGATGGTCAGACGCGTGCTGTGCGTGGACGTGCCACCAGCAGCGTGTTCGCGGAAACGGTGGGCGATGGCTCGAAGCAATTTCGCCGGCCGCAGATCCGGAGCGGGCAATATTGACAGCGAATGAGACGCGATAATAGGAAAA